AGGTCACGAAAGCCCTGGAGTGACACCAGAGGGTAATGTTAAGTATTGCAGACATTCAGGGCTGAATCGACACACCACAGCTGGTTTGTAACCAAAGCCATAAATCTATGACCCTCAGGTCAAGGATACATAAACAAGCTGTTAACCTAGTGTCAGGACCACATCATGACGGAAAAAGAGAAAGCCGCCATTCCTAATGTGGAAAACCTATAATCACTGGAGTCTGTATGTCTAAAGAATTCTATTCCGTGGTCATATCACAGTGGTTATGATATGGTATATAACAAGATTACATGTGCATGTGGTTCCTATCTCACCTCTACAGGTGCGCTGATCCTCCAGAAGAAGAAATCCTGGTTTACAAAGACACTGAGCGCGATTCTGTTTATTTACATGACAGATCTGCGAACATCCTCCATTGTTTAAGGAGCAAGGAGTTAACTCTGCAGTTAAAAGAAACATATTATGAGGAATTTATAAGATCCAACAAAGAAAGTATGTTTTTAATTGCTTGTGAAACAGAACGTGACAGACTAAGTGGTCCCTTTCAAATAATATAATTTAATTTACATGGTATGGTTTAGGTTTAGAGAACAGGACAGGATTTGCTCCCTGCTGAGAGTGAAATCCCACATCTGCAGTGACTTACAGATTCTCCGGGTTAATGAATTTACCTTGTGTGGACAGGAAACACTTTTGACAACTAAATGATTTTTAAATGTACTTTTTGCTTAACAAAAATAGCCCACTAAACACAATGGTAAACTGAATTTGATTCATTAAGATGTTTTTACGTGCATTTTTGAAATAAGATAATGGGTTTAGCAGAACACCTGAGTTCAAAACAGTAATGTCCATCTGTATAAACACATATTCCTAGATGTGTCCGATTACGTTTAAAGCCATCCTGAGGCCCTCTGTGAACAGCTCTAGTGATCAGTTCTGCCTGTCACCTGCTTAGAGAAGTGATGAGCAGGATATTACTCAGATGTCAAATATCAAGACATATAAGAATGGAGGGTGGTGACAGGAAAGGGTCAGCATACTAAAATGCCGATACAATAAAAACACCTAAACAGGATTATGAAAAATTAATCTTTCCAGCAACTTTAATCTCTGAGCACTTGATTCAAACTTGTTAATGAACCCTTTCTTAAATAAATAAAGCATCCTCTCTTCTGTCTCCTTAGGATAAACTGATTATGACCTGATTTGATTCTTTAGTTACAAGTATCTGATAATTATCTGTAAGCCCATTTCTGCCACATAAGAAAAAAAGCATGCTTTTATAAATCATAATTATCACATAAAAAGTAAAAAATTCAAAAAATGATAAATCAGAATAATGAAGTCGAAACTGACAAAAAGTCAAATTTATAAGCTAAAGACATTATTATTTAGATTTGCCTAAATTATTACTTTTCATCTAAATTATGACTTGAATTATGAATTATGAATTATGACTAAAAAAAATCTTTTTTAATAATTACTTTTATTTCATAGTTTTGACTTTTTGTCATCATAAAGATTAACGAAAGCATGTTTTATTTTTTTCTTATGTGGAGAAAATGTGCTTTCATAGATAAATGAATAAACTGATGTTTTGTGCACTATATAACATGCTGCAGTTTCAAACAAGAATCTTGTGATTGCAGTTCACATTAAAAGCTCTAGATTATTTCCTGGACAAATGAACTCTCTACATATTTAGATCCAATATGTGTCACATATCTCACCTAAGCAGAGAGGTGTTTGGCCACTCCATTGTCCATTGTGTTGACAATAGCTGTAGACGTCACCATTGGTCAATGTGTATCCAGGGTAACATGCATACTGAATATAATGCTTATACTGAAGCGGGCCAGGATTCTTTATCGACCGAAAGTAGAACGTTCCGTGAGAAGGAAACGGAGGGTAGGGACACACTGGACGACGTATCCTTGAAAATCTTGGAAGATCTTTCCACGCTGAAGGATCAAGTGTTTGTTTGGGGTCACTCTGATTGCTTTTTTCATTTACTTGATCATCAGTAATGTCAGTTGAGTTGTGGAGGTCTGTTGGAGCCTTCAGATGCAGGCCAGACACAAGCTGGGTGGCCGTCGTCAAGACCTCCTCGCCAGATGATATATATCCAGTGGTATCTGGTGGCGGTGATGTCTCAGTAAGGTCTGGTCTTTGTTCAATGAGTCCTCTGGAGGTAGATGGAGCAGTAGACCACGGATCAAGTGCAAAGGAAACAAACTCATGTTTAGACACCATAAAACCAGGATAGCTTGTAGTTGAAGGTGCAAAACTCTCAGTGGTGTCTACTTTGATGAAAGTCTCTGACTGTAGATGGTCATCTGTGCCTAATGTGTTGAGGTTTGGTGCAGGTGTAGTTGATATCCAGTGTGAATTATTTTTACTGTATTCTGGTAAAGTCTTAACAGCTGAAATGACTGAGGCTCTTTGAAATAGTTTGTCTGTACCAAGCGTGGACTGATAACCTTTTTTGTTTCTTCTGTATGGTGCTTCAGTAAATGTTTGATCCATGATCTTGACTTGTTGAGTGGCCATTGCTGGAGTGACGAAGCTTGTTGGTGTGGTGCTCAAAAATGAAGATTCAAGAAAAGAACTGGCTAATGAGATCGTGTTTACAGTCACAGACGCCACCGTCACAGAGTTCCTGATTGGATCCTTGAAGTTTTCAAGGTTGTTGATTGGCCCAGCCTTTCCACGGTCTCGTGTTTTGTCAAACAATAGAATCTTTGAGGGCTTTTTCTCTACTGGTTTCCTAATATTTTTCTGCTTGAGGTCTGTAAAGTCAAGTCTGATGTGAGGGACCCCAAGCAACACTGTTTTTAAAAAAGCATCCTTGGAAGCAGTGTTTAAATGGCTATGTAAGCGAACTTTTAGGCTTGTAGGAACATCATGGCCCTGTGCTGAGACAGGACCATGTAAAGAGTCTTGATTCAGATGAAGAACACTCATTATATCAGCCACTGTAAGAACCAAGAAACAAACCGTAAGGAGGAACATGAAGGAGCCAAAGCAAACAGATGGTGAGAATTTTACAGGAAGTAATTGTAGCAGTGATGTAAAAACAATAAGCCAAAAAATGGTATATGTTAATAAATCAAACAGTTTTGGCATTTACGCTTGATTCAGATGACATACCTTTGCAGACAGGCTTAGTGCTGTTCCAGCTTTTCCCCTTGCAGAAGAGAAGCGCAGATCCAAACAAACTGAATCCAGTGTCACAGCTGAAGGCGGCCAGAGATCTGTCTTTAGAAACCACAGTACTTCCATGCAGGAGATCACCAGGGCTGGGGCATCCTGATGCTGGGGTACAAAACAACTTATGGTATGGCTGTAAGTATCAGCATTACATTAGAGAACCTATAAAACATAATTTTAACTACTGCAGTTTATTTTAAACAAGCTTTTTCGCTTGACAAATCTTAGAGAGATTAATCTACTTCATGGCCATATTTCACAATACAGAATAAATGTGTGTATATTTACAAACTTTGTGAATATTTACTAACCCACACACAGCGGTGGGTCTCTGGCCCACTGTCCAGATACACAGCTGCTAGTACGGTAACCGTGGATCCGGAATCCTGGATTACAGGTGAAGGTAACATACAATCCTCCATAACGGAAAAACATACGCCCATTTTCTAAGTGTCCAAAGCCACTGCAGCCTTTATCAGCAATGCCTAAGTGAAAACCATCAGAAATAATCATATGCTTGCACACAGATCAGACTAAATCACAACATCTAAAATTGTTAATCAAGGGCAGACTGAAAGTCTGAAAAAAAGTGCTTCAAAGATTTACCTATGGCTTAATGTGATAATATAAATTTTCATGATACTGTACCTGGAGTTTGCATCCAGAGCAGAGACAAAAATACACACAGCAGTGCACCTCTCCAACCTAGCATGATTGAGCAAATTCCACCGTAAAAAAGAGGCTGTCGAAAACCTTAGAGTGTCAGACTGTAAATGAAGATCACTCAGGCAAACTGAACACTAGAGAGAGGAGTCTTGAAGTGATTGGGTAAAAAGATAAGACATGAGAGAAGGGGAAGGGAGAGAAAAGGGGAGGAGACACAAAACAGAATAACAGGAGTTTAAAACATCTTGAACACTCATCTTCAAAACAGGATGAAAACATAGAAACAGACAGTGTGTTTTTTTCTTGTTAAGGGGAGCAACAGCAAGTCAGCTCAGATGACTTCAGTTAAAACCACTGCATAAAAGCCAATACTCTTTGTTACTTGTGTGAATGCAGACCAGTGTTATAATTTGTTACATTTATATAGCGCTCTTCTAGACATTCAAAACACTTTACATTGTCAAGGGGATCTCCTTAACCACCACCATTATTTTAGTATTATTATTATTATACTACTAATATTTTATTTGTAAATGATAACACTGATTTTGTCTGCCAAACTAAACACTGTATACTAAACACTAAATATGTAAAGATAATAAATGTGATTATATTTATGGCATTTATACTGTATATTGAGAGAAAACTGACCACCCTTTGAAATTCATCTATTTATTTCTACCCCTTGACTTTATGAAACACATCATGTCTGGTGAGGGCATAAATTGACGTTTTAGGTTTGATAATAAAAGATGGTACAATTGGTGGCTGACTAAATACTTTTTTTCCCCACTGTACATTGTAAACCACATACAAGATGAAAACAGAGCAGTTAATATCAGAGAAATATCTACAACAAAAATGACTCATGACTCAAAGTGAAGTCTCAATTATAGGGTTATGTACTGCTGAACAATTATACTCCACTTGTGAATTACAGTGCTACAAAATAGCTGTGACTGTATTTAAACTGTGCATTTTTCAGTATATTTGAACTTTTTTTCTCATTCTTTTATATCACAAAGGGCAGGAAGCCTGAAAACTCTTACCTTTATGAAAAATGTGAATCCTGGAAAATGAAAATAAATAACTTCTGTGCCATAAGATGTTAAAAAATAAAGATGAAGTGACAAAATTATTTGTAAATGTGCCTTGTCTGTAATCTGCTCATCCAGAATTAACCCTGCTGCTGCTCTTTGACATCCAGTTTATGCACCACCCTGAAAGCCTCCAGGAACTCATTAAAATCAATGCTGCCGTCTTTGTTAAAGTCTATGCTTCGAGCCATGTCGTCTATCGTCTGGTCATTCACAGCAACCCCCAAATGGGAACTGAAGAGCTTCCAAGTCTGACGGAACTCCTCAATGGAGATCTGACCTATGTGAAGGTAAACAGGTGGGTTATGATCACCATATAATAACCAGCATTAATCTCATTGAACAATCAGGAAAGCATTGCCACTAACCTGAATGGTCCTTATCGATGATGTTAAATATTATCTCTAAGTCAGTTCTATATCTATAAAGAGTTTCAGCCAAGTTTGGTGTTACCTAAAAAAAGGTTAATTTCAAAAACTGAGACTGAATTGTGAGTTACTATATTTTCAAAATAAAAGTAAAAATGTCTGCTAAAGCTGGGCAGTATAACATATATGTGGTTAAAATTTGGCAACCAAATTTTTTCATGTCAGCTGTTTAACAATGGTTCATTACTTTGTAAATAATTCACTTGATTATCCAAATATAAGCATTACCACACGACTATTTACATATAAACCATTTTCCAAATTCCTTGCTGAAATTATTATAAAGGTGTCAAAGTGATATGTATAACGTTAATGTAATCAAAATCTTATATCATAAATTATATGAGTAATTTTGTGTCATACAGCCCATCCTTACATAACATAAACATAGATTATGATACTGACTGGAGGGATGGGTTCTCCAGGGCTTATGTCCTCAAAGCAGGATTCATACTCTACATTGCCATCTGCACTAAGACGGGCCAGGCGTGGACTTTGGTCCACTGTGTTTTCTGAAGTCCACAGTCAACGCAGCCATCTACCAGGAAATTTTAGAGCACTTCATGCTTCCTTCTGCTGACAAGCTTTATGGAGATGCTGATTTCATTTTCCAGCAGGACTATTGTCAAGAGGAAGATGAGAGACACCAGACCCAACAATGCAGATGCCCTGAAGGCCGCTATCAAAGCAACCTGGGCTTCCATACCACCTCAGCAGTGCCACAGGCTGATTGTCTCCATGCCACGCCGCACTGATTCAGTTGAACCCCCGAAATAAATGAACTTTTCCACGACATTCTAATTTATCGAGATGCACCTGTATATGACAAAAAAAAAAACACAAACTAAAATTAAAATTAGAACACAAAAATACAAAAACTGGAAGATTTTATATTGAAGAATATCATAGAAATGTGTGGTTGTCGATTTATTCTTTCTAAGCACAAAACCCAGAGTGCCATGCTCTTTTATAATTCATAAATACTTTTTATGGAAGTTCAGTAAGTTGGTACAAAATTCTCACATCTCCTGCAATAAAGTGAGTCATATTGTGTTGTGGAGGTTTAAGCTAAATGGAGTTCCAAGGCAGAACAGTTCCACATCCAAGATAGAAGTTATTTGTCACACAATTTCACCGACAAAACACACATCCTGGGAACAGTTTCAACTCACTTGCTGCCATTCCAGTTCTTCTCTGGGTGGCTCAGGGGGCTCTAGGGAGACGAAGGAGTCCAGGAAGGGCACTTGGAGCACATCGGTGGGGCTCGGCAGACTAGGGGAAGGCGGAGGTCGATGTGGAGTGTTCCGTGACGAGATCCGGGGGGAGCACACGGATGATGAGGAGGATGAGGATGATGAAGATGAGGAGCAGCTCCCCTGCCTAGTGAAGTGCTTCTTCCTTCTGCAGGAAGCACGACTGGTGCGGCCTGAGGAGCAAGGGCTGTCCAGTCTGGATCTTCCGCTGTGTCTGCTGCTGCTGCGACTGCAGGCACGGACGTTGAGATGATCAATGCTGCATTTGGGCAACCTAAGAGCAGACTTCACCTGCAATGTGAGGGATAATCCTTTTTACATTATCCTGGTTTTTACATGGCTACTTACCTAAACAAACATGAACTGTATATTTACACTGAAATTATTTTATTATGTAAGAAGCCAATAAATAGACTTCTCCTATAAATAAAATACCTACTTTATGTCTCACAACTGTGCTCAGAAAGCCAAATAAATAAACAAATGCATGTGAATTATAAATTTAAAATTGAAATCATTTTATTATGTGAAAATAAAGAATATAAATCCATCCGGAAGTAAAAAACAAAAAAACACCTACTTTATGCCTTTCAACAGTGCTCAGAAAGTCCAGATCAGTTTTGTCCGATATGCCACCGTGAACAATAAGCACTTTGTTATCGATGACAGTTGCAAGAGGAAGCAGGCTGAACACATCCTGAAGAAGCTGTAGGATTTCCCTGCCATGAGTCTATTAAGAACACAGCAGAAGTTAATGTGCATTTCTTTACATGTCCAGTAAGTGGCGGTGACGTCTAATATTTGACAGTAAACCTTTTTAAACCTTTATTAACCCTCCTTAAATAAGCAGATTATTTATTTCAAGTAATTTCGAGTTTTAAGGCTTTTTTCAGCAGTTTTAATGACATTTTCACATCAATGTTTTTACAAAAATTGTTACGAAATTGGAAAAAAGTTAGCAACTCTACATTTAACTTGCCTATAATCAAAACATTAATAAACAAAAAAGCACATATAAAAATATACCTTATATTTCTGCATGACTTCTTTTGTGAATCCGTATCTGCAAGAACATCAAAAGCTTACACACTAATAATATAAATCATACTTTTAAATTCAGTTTGAAAAAAAAAGACAAAAACTTTTTGAGTGCATCCTATTTGTTGTATACCATGCCTAGAAAGCCTTTTTTTTACTACTAGGATGCACAGAGCATGGAATAATTTTTGTATAGCTTTATTAAAAGTCATGCCTTCATTATTAGTCTGAATGGATGATTTAGCATGTTACCTGAGGTTCATGATGTGGTCCTCATGGTTGCCTCTGTTCAGATACATGTGGTCGGGGCACAGCAGTAGGAAGGCAAACAGAATGATGATAATCTCTGTAGATTTCTTTCCTCGATCCACAAAGTCTCCATTGAATATGTAGGGGTTCTCCGCAGAGGGCAGACCGTTCTGGGCAATAAGGCAATACATCTTGAGTGTAATAAGTCACAAGTCATGCCCAAGTGGCTTTAATGAACTCGTTCTCTGGATTTGCTTAGGTACATTACCCCTGCACCAATATACTAAAATGTAATTACTCAAAATAATAGTCTACATCTAAACAATCGATCTGCATTTACCTTGTAAAATATAAGCAGTAAGTCATCCAGTCTACCATGCAGATCGCCTGTGTGAAAGAGAAAGGCGGCACATAAAAGCTGTTTATCATTCCAGGGAATATAAATCAAATATTGGAATCTGTGATGAAAATATGCAAAATATAAACACTTTAAATGGTATAACGCGATCTCTTTTAGAGTATTCGAAGATGGGAATTCAGTTATTCATGCATGCTTTTCTGTACTAATTGAATCAGGAGCGCTGTTGAGTATGAAATGGTGCAGGTTGCTGTGAGGAGCCCATTGAGGTACATTGAAGTGCAAAATAAATAAGCACTCATTCATTCATGCCACATCACTGGTTTTCCATACAAGCTATTAAAAATATTTAACATATCTCAAATGCACTGTTGCAACTTGCAACAAATCTGAGGTGGATTCTTTTTTTCATAAAATATATAGTGTCTCACCACATATAGTTATCTCTTTGGCATAGGACGTCGACAGGTATATGACGTTTGGCATCTGTTTCAAGAACTTCTTCGTTTCATATAGTAGTTGCAGCACATATTTGCCGTGAAGAGTCTGAAAATGAGTCACGCATTTATAGGTCACTGCATTTTTTGTTTGCCATTTCTAAATTAAAGAGCAATAGAATAGAAGAATGGTTAGAATTGTAGAAAAGAGAAAGTTTTAGTTAAGCTTATGTTTTGTTACTGTTTATAAAAAATAATTTTAATCGCATCCAAAATAAAAGTTTGTGTTTACATAATATATGTATGTTAACTGTGTAGATTTATTATGTATATATAAATACACACACATAGAGTATATATTTTGAAAATATATATATAAACAAGAACTTTATTTTGGATGCGATTAATCACAATTAATCGTTTGACAGCACTACAGAAAATATTATAAAACTATTAAGGTTATAAATATATGCTACTGTTCAAATGTTTGGGGTCATTTATTTATTTTGAAAGAATATAATATTTTTATTCAACAAGGGTGCATTATATTTATCAAAAGTGATAGTAAAGCCATTTATAATGAAACAAGATTAAAAAGATTAAACATTAATTACAGATTCCTTAGAAGAGCAACTATTTTCAACATTGATAATAAAAAGAAATGTTTCTTGAGCAACAAAACAGCATCTAAGAATGATCTCTGAAGGATCATGTGCCACTGAAGACTGGAGTAATGACTGCTTAAAATTCACCTTTTCCATGTAGGAATAAATTACATTTTAAATGTATTAAAATACAAAACAGTTATTAAGTATTTTAAATTGTAACAAAATATACACTATTACTATATTTACTGTATAAATGCAGCACATTTAAAAAATCTGACCAACCCCAAACATTTGAACGGTAGTGTAACACAATTTGAAGACGGTTTAAAGTCTGCTAGACAGAGGTAAATAATGTACAAGATGATCTTGGTTTTTGCCAGAAGGCTCATAATTGTTCAGACTATTAGTGAAAGTTTTATAGCGTTGCACCTGCTCCTCTTTAAAGGCGCTGAGCAGGACATTGGTATCAGTCACGCTCAGTGGGAAGGAGAGACGAGGGCCGCAGTACGATTCCGACACGACAATCTGCTCGTACTTCAACTGCCTGACCTCCTCAGTTAACGGGTCAACCACAGAGTCAAGGAGGTGAGAGATTAAGTCTGGGGGAAAGAGAACACGGCTGCTGTCGTGACTCATGTGTGGGAAGAATGAAAGAACAAATCACAGACAGCAAGTGTGACATGCAACTTGATTATCTTGGTGTGAATCAGTGTAACCAATTTTATGGTGCGTGGATGTTGGGACATGGTATGGAAAATGCATAATCTATGTCATAAAAATGTTAACCTTTTTTCTCCATCATCATGTGATAACTATTTATTACTATAATCAGCAAAAAAAAAGCAGCCTGATAAAAAAAAAATGTAAATGTGAATCAGGAAACACTCTGGAACATCAAAAGGTTTGTGTTATTGTTAGGCAGTGCTAGGCATGTGGCATGATGAGCACATGGGAACATGAATACATGCGGACAGGCATATCTGTTTCAATTTTCAGTTATTAAATAAATGATTAATTCTCAACCTGGAGTCTATTATGAAAGGCCTATTTTGATTGGCCATCAAAATACCCAGCACACAGTGCCATAACACAATGTAGCATACTTCAATTTCCATAGCGTCTGGCCCTGCACAGGGATTTGAGGAGTGCTGACCCATTGTGTCATTATTGAAAATGTAAATTTGCAGTGTTTTCCATAAATTTATGCAGAGAGACTTGAATTTCAGGAACAGATGTTTGTATTGGGGAGAAAGCAAACGCAAAATAATTTGTTCTTGCCTTGATTTAGCCAATATCTACTGGACATCATTCTCTGCTTTTTAGATGGCTAGCGATAAACAAACATTATTACGCTCCATTTGGTTTCACATAAAGAGCTCTACTGTCTGACCGAAAATCAGGCAATATTCAAGCCTTTTCTGTGATTTTGAGTAAAAATCTGCAGATGTGCTAATGTTCAAAAGGTTGGTCAGTAAGTTTTTTTTTTTTTTAGAAACTGATACTTTTATCAAGGATGCATTAAACTGAACAAAAGTGACAGTAAAGACATTATTTATTTGAAATTTCTATTTCAAATAAATGTTTTGTTTATTCAACTTTCTATTTATCAAAGAATCCTGAAAAAAAGTGTAATGCTTTTCACAAAAACATGAAGAAGCACAACCGTTTTCAATATTGACTGCTGAAAATTTAACTATGCCACCAGAGGAATAATTTATGCTTTAACATATAATATAATATATCATATGTGACCCTGGACAGGAAAACCAGTCATAAGGGTCCATTTATTTAAAATTGAGATTTATACATCACCTGAAAGCTGAATAAATAAGCTTTCTATTGAAGTATGTTTTGTCAGGATCTGACAATATTTGGCTGAGATAGATAATTGATCATTGATCATTTTGACCCATACAATGTATTGTTGGCTATTGCCACAAATATACCTGTGCTGCTTATGACTGGTTTTGTGGTCCAGGGTCTCATATATACTATATAAACATATATTAATGGTAATTCAGATATTAATAACTATTAACATTTTTAATAATTTTTACTTTCTAATAATAATAATAATAATCTTACCTTTTTTTTTTACTGCATTTATGATCACACAAATTCAGCCTTGGTGAGCATGAGAATGAAAAAAAAGTGTATATATATATATATATATATAATATTAAAATATAAGCCTTAGTGCTCAGAACCCATGGCACCCAATTAAGCTCCACTATATTGTGATTGCAGACCTTTCAATAATAAATATGAAGATACACTTTACAATACTATAATTACATACTTCCTAATTGCCATCAGGCAAAGATTCTGAAGCCACACAGACAAGAAGCTGAAAACCATCCAATCCCTAGATCATGATTACCTGACAAGACCAGTCATGTGCACTTGCGGCCCACTCAATAGGAACTGATTAAACCATTTTCCCAGAGGAAAGCCAATTTAGTGTCATCCCAGGCTGGAGCAAAGAACCCCATGTGAAGAATATAAAATAGTGAAAGGAACATTAACATTCACTATTGGGTAAAACAACTGAATATGTTGTTTTCACTACTGTTATTGTTCTTCAGAAACATTCTATGCACAGTCTCTCTCTAGATTTTTCAACTGTGTTCTTGGTGATCTCATTTGAGTTTCCGCTGTTCTGCTTGCCTAAAGATAGGACTAATTGTCTTCTGTAATTCTGCACTTTGGACAGCTGCCTGTGGAGGCTGATTGCTGCATTTCTGGCTCTCTCCGCATTACCACCACTCAAAATGAGATCTCCCAAGGTTGCTTAGCAACTGTCTCCCCATATAGCATTTTTTGGAATCACTAAAAGGATAGGTGTGCAACACTCCAGAAGGAGATCGTTTCATGCAAAAATCACATGAGCTAGGGGCTTTCCAAAGGTGTGCTTAGGGACAGCCAAATTCAGATGATAATGAAAAAACAATCTACAAACTACTATAGCCTGACAAACCACCATGGCTTAACCAATAGTGTGTTTAATCAGTTTGTCTGACCTATGACAAATGGGAGTGTTTGAAATGGTTAATTATTTGTGCAATTAAATTACACACTTTCCTTAAAGAAGCTTTTGCATCTTTTAATCGGACACAGTTATTACCTGGTCCATTCATCTGTGTGAAGTTGTCCAACATGAAACTGAAGAAACTGGAGAGCTACAAAAATTAAAAAGATGTATACTTGCATTAAAATGAATGTTGAAAATCTGAGTTTGAATAATCATTACAAGTTTATTAAGCGTAGGGTAAGATATTTGGTTTTTTTCTATGTATGGACTGGCCATAATAAGCAAGTGTCGTTTATACCTGTAGCTGGTCCTGTTTCCCTGCATACTCAATGGACTGAAAGATGTTCCATGAATAGAGTCTTCTCATCTCCAGGCGAGCAACATAGCGTCTGTACCAACGCTGGATCAGTATGGCAGCTTTCATGGCTAAATACGTTAAGAACACACAAAGAACGCAAGTGGCTGGTGTAAACAGAATCCTTTAAGCAATATTTCTGTGACCACAGTTTTGAGAAAAACTATTTGGGAAGAGAAATGCAGGCAATGAGGTTTTTCAATGCACCAAATATGAATACTTCCCTACTTTGTGTGCAAAAAGCAGTAATATGTCTGCAACCGAAATCGCATACTTTCCTATATAATAGGCAGAAAAACAGTGTGTGAAGAGAGTAGTATGTCTCTTCACACACCCAGATGACTTACTACTTCAATGCATACAATGCAAATCTATCCCATGAGGCCACGGGAGCGAATTTGTGAATGGTAGTGAAGCGGCGCAACTGATGCTGGTAGGTCGCATGGCAATGACAACATAGTGACTGTAGTACATCCATATTTCATTCAAATTACACACTTACTTTCTTAGCTGACACAATTTATTTACTTATGCAAAAGAAGTACCTACTTAGTATGCGATTTCAGACACAGCCTCTATCTTAATATGCAGCATTCATTAAACAAGACCCGGCATGACCTACTCCATCCCCTGATAGTCTGCAACCATTGGACACTTTGCTATCCCATGAGGGCATGGGAGAGCGCTTTGGTATAAAGGAGGTTGCTACTCATGGTTAAACTGTACTTGTTTAACAAATTATTTCTGAGAACAAATGAGTCAAAAGACAATGCCAAAATGGCAAATGTAGAATTTCTGGGAAATATACGTGCATATATAGAGAAATTAAACATGAAAGATTAAAAACATTTTAAGACAGTACCACAACAACCCTTCAAAGATGTTCTGTTGCTACAGTTGATTCTCATTTGTCTCATCAGATTCACGTTACCATGTTAACATCATGCTTTAATGCACATACAGCTCTTGGTACAGGAACACTTGCATCTTTTCCAGAACACTTGACTGCAAATACTGTTCTAAAAATACACCTCGTCTCAGGAGGTCAATATCACAAGTGCTAATTAAAGAACTGCTAGGAGCAGTTAAGGAGAAAGAACACAACACAGACATTAGAGACAAGGCTTTGCTCAAGAGTACACATCCATAGAGAAATTATAAGCCGTGTTCGAGAAGGATGGGAGAATTGCTCATGATCATCCATTTTATTTATTCTAAATGCACAGAGAAAAATCACACTCATAGGTTTACCTAAAAAAATATGGTAGTTTTAAAAGTATGTAAACAAATCTACATTGGCGCTTTCATGCCATCTAGTACTTCTCTATAGCCACGAATGAGACACAGACAGTGATGATAGATGCTAAAGAAAGTGCCTTACTCAGAGCTGGGCTGGACTGCTTGATGGAGCCATCTGTGTGAGAGGTGATTAAATTAAATTGAATAATTTAAGTAATACCTTGGGAGTGGAAAAAAAAGACAAGGCTGGGGACTAAATGCAACGCAAGCATTGCCATATTTTTCAATAAATAAGTAATGCACACTTCTTGAAACCAGAGTTGTTGCAAAGGGGAGAGGAAAAAGAGGTTAAACAATATTGCAAATCACATTAAAGCATTAGGGATAAAGAACAAATATTTACCAGTTTCTGAGGGTCGTGTTTGGTTCTCAATGGCAATGGATGTGCCGCATCCCATGATGGTACTTCTTGCTTCTAGTCATGAATACCCAAAATTCTTAAGGTTCTCTTCTTCATTTAGTATCCAGAAATGTTTGTGCAAAAATAAATTATTTAAATAATAATATAAGAATTTAATAAATAATTTAAGAATTAAACTTAAAATTAAACAGCTTAAACTTCATCAGTACAGAGACTGCAACCACATATTCAGGATTGAGGGTAATGTTTCATAAAAATATATTTGATTACAAATCTGGGGAGATGCATCCTCATGGCTATTAGATCTAATATTTCAGTGCTGTTTTGATATTCATAATGAAGTGAAATGGCATTAGAAAAAAGCAATACTGCTTGGAATTAATCCAGCATCACAGTAGTGTGTCTCTGCAGAATTAAGCAACAAAAGATACAAATCATGCTGGACTTTAATCTGTGCCCTAAAGAGCCTTTCAAAGGGCCCTTTTAACAGTGATCAATCTCTGGGAGGGGACACCGGGAGAGAGATGTAGACTGTTGATTGTCATCTTCACAGCGTTACAAATACAATAATAACAATAATAATAAATATGTTGTCCCAACTTCTGGGGAGATGCTTATTATTTTTAAGTAACATGAAACTCTTTAAGATGTACTAAAAAGATTATTACACAGACATTATTCTTTAACAACAAAAAGGCTGAAGAAACACGCGGAATAAACAATCGTATAATTAGGCACGGAACACCAACAAAAAATAGCGTATTGGAAACGAGATTCAAAAATTAAGTTACCTTTCCGTTGTCCATCATTCAGAACGACATGCACATGAGTTGAGAAATTAGGATTGGATAAGAAGTAAATGATGAAAAATCAAACATTAATTTCCAAATGTGGAGGGATGCAACAGCTAAACAACACCACAGGTGTCAGACAAGGCTAGCCTGCATGAAACGCCGTGGCAGTCTGACGATTTGAGAGCATGTCTCACTGACTCGTGTGAGTCTAGTGAGGAGGTTTTGATTCATTCCAGTGACTCGAATCGTTTGGATCCGTTCAGAAAAAGATTCATTCACTGACCCGCTTATTAACCCTTTATGCACTTACGTCAGTAGGTGGCGACATTGAGTCTATTTGAATCGTTTCATTCTTTGAAGAACAGTCCATTTAAGTGTTATTTTATAATTGATTAAAATATGCTTGTCTACATAGTTACTAATGCCAAGTTCACACTGCACGATTTTAGCCCGATTTTTCACTCGCCGACAGGTTTTGCAAAATCACCGACAAATGCCCGAAATCGGAGGCAAATCGGTGCTCGTTCACGCGAGTGACAATCACACAGTGTGAATTATCAAAGACGCGATCTGAGGGAATCGCCGACACGTCGCAGATTTTAAAACTCCAGTCTGGCTGAGAACTCGGGTCTGACGCACGTGGGATCTCGCGTTATTTCCTTATCACTTCTCAAGTGTGTTTTGTTGTGAAACGTAGTTTGCGGACTAGACAGAGCTGTCGGCGATTCTTCCTATTGTAAAGTCATGCAGTTCCTCCGCCTCCTTTGTGTTACGAACGAGATGTATTGATATGACGAATTCAGTCTGCCGGCCTTGTTCATGAGCGACAGGGCCGTCCTTAGGGGGGTGCAACTGGTGCGGTCAAAAAGTTTAGTGTTTTTTTTTTCAAACTGAATTTAAAAGTATGATTTATATTATTAGTCTAAGCTTTTGATGTTCTTGCAGATACGGATTCACAAAAGAAGTCATGCAGAAATATAAGGTATATTTTTATATGTGCTTTTTTGTTTATTAATGTTTTGATTATAGGAAAGTTAAATGTAGAGTTGCTAACTTTTTTCCAATTTCATAAAAATTTTTGTAAAAACATTGATTTGAAAATGTCATTAAAACTGCTGGAAAAAAGCCTTAAAACTCGAAATTACTTGAAATAAATAATCTGCTTATTTAAAGAGGGTTAAAGGGGTCATATGATGCTGCTAAAAGAACA